GTGAGACAAAAAGGGCGATAGCGAAGATATGTATATTACCGTTGGACGAGGAGCTTCCTCATTAGTCATGATTTATTGTGTGTGTTATTTTATAGAGTATGATAACGATCTTTCCGTTTTGGTGTTGAAAGTCAATGTCTTTCAAAGGGGGCGGCATGTCTAGTCGAGAGTGAATACGTTCATATAGCGCGCGATCAAATGTTACAAGCCATAGATATATAGCGCCGAGAGAGGGCAGAAAAGGCGCCTAATACCGAAACGGAGGGAGAGCAAGGGAGAGTATGCGAGTAGACACGACAGAGGAAGCATGTGCGACCAAGTGAGGACCACGCGCGCATTCCGTGGTTGTAAAGATGTAAGTTACAAATAAAGGCGAACACTGTAAGAAGTGCAATCAAAGAGATAAAGAACGGCGAGTTGTGAAAAAGAACCCCTTCATCTCCGTACGCTCGAGCTCTGGCCACTGTGTAATATCCAAATGGTCCTTCGAGCCGGATTCGGCAAAGCCGAAATCCGAGAATCAGCCAGAGTGCCAAGGAGGTGAACCGGGGCGTGGTGCGAACAATTGCTTGGTGAGAGACATTCATATTCGGAACGAGTGTGGGCCCATCGAGCTGCTGGCGAGCGAACGAGAGAGCTGCCTAACGGTTGCGACGGCGGCCATTATCACGTGCCACGCGGCTGAGAGGGAAGGTCGGACGGAGATCACTAAAAAGGTATTTGCAACGATCAACGATGTCCACTGACAAGCAGCAACAGTACGAGGAGTTGAAGCGTCGTCGCGCGACGACCCGCTCGCAGTTAACAAAGTTTAAGACATTCGTAGAGGCCTTAGACGCGAGAGATCGGGCGAGCATTATGCAGATGAAGATTCGGCTGGAGCGAGCGGAAGCATTGTGGGATCGTTTTGACGAGACGCAAGGCGCGATAGAAGCGCTGGATAATACGCCGGATTTCATTGCCAAGCAGGAGGGGGAGCGAACGGCTTTCGAGAACGCGTATTATGAGGTGATGACGCGGGCGCGAGTGATCATGGCTGAGAGCGAACAACCACAAGGTCGGCGCGTGTCGGTCGAGGAAGAGGACGTAGATGTAAACATCGCAAATGATGCCCGAGAAGTCAGGGCTGGCAACGTGGGAACGGTTAGGCTGCCGACGATGAGTCTCCCGACGTTTAACGGCACCTATGAGCAGTGGCAGGCATTTCATGGACCGTTCTCCGCGTTGGTTGACAGAAATGCTAACCTATCTAATTTGCAAAAGTTTTACTATCTGCTTTCAGCCCTCGACGTTAATGCAAAAGGACCATCGAATCGATTGAGATCACAGACGGGAACTACCAGAGCGCGCTTGACCTATTGAAGAGGCGATACGATAATTCACGTCTCGCCACCCGTCATCACATTCGCGCCATCTTCGCATTGAAACCAGTGGAGAGGGAAACGGCGGTAGCTTTGCGGGGGCTCACGGACGAAGTGCAGCAGAGGTTAGCCGCGCTGACTGCCCTCAAGGAGCCAACAGAGCACTGGAGCACTATCATCAACGAGTGGATTCTTTCGAAGCTCGATTCGGTAACCAGCAGGGAGTGGGAGGAGAAGTCCGTTCGCGAAAAATTGAATAAAACTGAGGACTTGCTCGAGTTTCTTGAGGCAAAATGTTTTATGTTAGAGTCGATGTCGGGCGTGAATGATAAAAGGTCAAATGTTAAGGTACAGAAAGGTGTTTCACATGTTGTAACGACTGATAAGGCTGAATGTAAATTATGTAAGGGCGGCCACAAGTTGTATGCGTGTAAGGTTTTTAACAATATGTCAGTAGAATCGCGATGCGCCGAGGTCAGGAGGCTTGGGTTGTGCTTTAACTGCCTTAACCGAGGCCATTCAGCAAAATATTGCAAGGCCCGCCATTGTAAGATAGTGCCATGTCAGGGAAGACATCATTCTCTTTTGCACCCAGGCCTTCGGCTTGCGGGAGGTCAACCAACCCCGTCGACGCGGGGTGGCCTTGACGAGGCATCGAGTTCTTCATTGGTCGCGTGTGCTTCCCAGCGTAGCGAATCCGCGATCATACTATCGACAGCGCTTGTTAAGATTAGAGACAATGTGAATGAGTGGCGCGAGGCGCGTGCCTTGTTGGACAGTGGCGCAACACTTAACTTTATTACCGCGGAGCTCTGCGAAAGGTTGCGTTTACCCGAGATTAGGTGGGAACAGATGATATCAGGATTCAACGAGCAGACAACGTCCACCAAGGCGTATGTAAAAACAGTTATAGGATCGCGTCTTTCGAATTATGAGCAACCAGTCAAATTAATAGTTAGTGAGTCGATCACCTGTCCCCTTCCCGAGTCCCGCATCGATTTGAGCTGCATTCAGATTCCCGAGTCTATATCCTTATCGAACCTTGCGGACCCCCGTTTCAACGTGCCCCAGCGGGTTGACTTGCTGCTGGGAGCAGGCATTTTTTGGTCCTTGCTGCGCGGCGGACGGATTCGATTGAGTGACTCGCAGCCTATATTCCAGAACACTCATTTAGGATGGATCCTCGGGGGGGGGGGGAGTCTCGCGGGCGGCTCCGGCGCGATCTCCGGTGATTTGTTGCAGCGCGACGGACGGCTTGATGAATCAACAGCTACAGAGATTTTGGGAGATAGAGAGATGCGAATCAAGAAGGTTGTTGAGCGCTGAGGAGCGAGCGTGCGAGGAGCATTTTGTGAAGGGCATGCGTCGGAACGAGGTCGGCAGGTATGAGGTCTCCCTGCCGTTTAAGGGGGATCCGCGCGAGTTGGGGGAGTCGTTCGGTGCGGCCTATGGGCGACTGCGATCATTGGAGCGACGATTTAGGAGGAACAAGGAGCTATACGCGAGCTACGTACAGTTTATGAGAGACTACGAGAGCGCAGGCCACATGTCACTGGTGGATGGTGGGCCGGCGGAACCGGTGGGAAACTTGCTGCCTCATCACGGTGTATGCAGGGGCCCGGAAGGATACGTCAAACTGAGAGTGGTATTCGACGCTTCTTGCGAGACATCGTCGGGGAAATCGCTGAACGACATTTTGATGGTCGGACCCGCGATTCAACAGGAGTTGGTGAGCATCGTCGCCCGCTTCCGGCAGCACCCATATGTTTTAACGGCCGACATATCTCAGATGTATCGACAGATCTTGTTGAGAACCGAGGATCGACGATGGCAGAGAATTCTGTGGCGCGAGCGTTCAGAGGAGCCCGCAAGAGTTTATGAACTCAACACGGTTACGTACGGAACGGCTGCGGCATCATTTTTGGCCATCAGATGTCTTCATCAGCTTGCGGATGAAAACCAGGCCCGCGCCGGGGCATCGATTGTCTTGAAGAGAGATTTTTACGTTGACGACATGCTTACTGGCGCCGCCACCATAGGTGAGCTTCGTCAGATTAAGAGAGAAATCATCTCGATCCTGTCGTCGGCTGGAATGAGGCTGCACAAATGGCCATCGAACGTGTCGGACATTGTGGCTCGGGTCGATACGCCGAATAGAATGCTGGCTTCGGAGGAAGTGAAGACCCTGGGCCTGTTGTGGGATCCAGGGTGTGATGAGTTTGTCTACCAGATCAATCTCCCCGCCGAGGAGGCGATGTCAAAACGAAAACTGCTATCCATGATAGCACACATTTACGATCCTCTTGGGCTCATCAGCCCGGTAACCTTGAAGGCCAAGATGCTCATGCAGACGTTATGGAAACTGAAGATCGAGTGGGATAGCCAATTACCTGATCACATTCAGCAGCAGTGGCGTCATTATAGACGCCAGCTCACCGACATGCCGAGGATTCGCGTTCCTCGATGCTTGGCTGGAGATTCGCGTGGACGGATGGAGCTGCACGGGTTTTGCGACGCCTCTCAGAAGGCTTATGGAGCAGCTGTTTACGTATGTCATGTGGATTCCGAGGGAATCCGGCATGTAAACCTGCTTTGTTCTAAATCCCGCATCGCGCCCCCTGCTGCGACATCCATTCCTCGCTTGGAGTTGTGTGGCGCGGTACTTCTAGCCAATCTGGTGAGCAAAATGATACAGGCCTGGACCGTTCGGTTTCACGAAGTGGTATACTGGACTGATTCCACCATAGTCCTTCATTGGATAAACAAGGAGTCCACACACTGGAAGGTTTTTGTCGGCAACCGCGTTGCGGAGATCCAGACTCTTTCCGAACGCAACCAGTGGAGACATGTCGACACCTCCAGCAATCCCGCTGACATGATAACAAGAGGAATCGAGCCCGAGAGTTTGGCATCATCCTCGCTCTAGTGGACGGGACCTGGCTGGCTGAGCCAGTCGCCGGACTTGTGGCCGCGGCATCTGGTGTTAGGCGAGATTCCCGAGGATGAGGCGAGGACCCGTCCGGTAGTGTTGACGGCGACCGAGGCATGGAGTCTGATCGATCGATTCTCTTCGTTGGTGCGGCTGAGACGGGTGGCGGCCTATTGCCTCCGATTTATGGGCAACGTGCGTTGCAAGGTTAAAGGTGAGCGTCGTTTCGGGGCGCTCACCGTGAAGGAGCTTGACGGGGCGATGAGCATCCTCATCAGGACTGTGCAGTCGCTGTCTTTCCCGGGGGAGTTGCGTCAGCTTCAGAAGCAACAGCGGATCAGTTCCGAGAGCACGATATTGTCTCTCAATCCATTTCTGGACGAAGAGGGCATCCTGCGAGTGGGGGGTCGTCTGCGAAATTCGACCTTACCATACAGCACAAAATTTCCTATCCTATTACCCAAGAAACATTTTTTTACAACTCTAGTAATCCGAGACGCCCATTACAGAAATTTGCACGTGGGTGCTCATACATTGATGTCAATTTTGCGTGAAAAATATTGGATTATCTCCGCCGGAACGGCGATCCGCGGCGTACTGCGTAAGTGTATATTGTGTTTCCGCAGAGCTCTGCGTAAAATGGGACAATTGATGGGTAGTCTCCCCGCGGACAGGGTCGTGCCGTCGAGACCATTCACGAACACAGGGGTAGATTACGCCGGGCCATTTTGCATTAAGATCTCGCGAAATAAGACCGGAAAGGCGTATCTGGCCGTATTCGTTTGTATGTCCACGAGGGCAATTCATTTGGAGATTGTATCCGATTTATCGACCCCCTGTTTTCTCAATACTTTGAAGCGTTTCATGTCCCGTCGCGGCAGGAGCGGGAGTATCTGGTCGGACAATGGTCGGAATTTCTTGGGCGCCAAGAACGAATTAGACGACCTTGGCAAATTTCTGGAAAGCCAAAGAGGACAATCTGAGATCATAGAATTCGCGGCGGAGCAATCTATAGAATGGAAATTCATTCCCCTGTACTCCCCCCATATGGGAGGAATATGGGAATCAGCTGTTAAGGCCGCAAAGAATCTATTCAAAACAACAATCAATCAGACATCACTGAGTTTTGAGGAGCTAACCACTGTATTCGCTCAGATAGAGGCAATCTTGAATTCCCGACCGTTGTCGCCCATGTCGACCGATCCGCACGATTTTGCAGCCCTTACGCCGGGGCATTTTCTGGTAGGAGCGCCGATCGTGGCGTTACCGGAGAGGGACGTCACCTCATTGACCGCGAACCGTTTGCGTAGATATCAACTATTGACTCAGCTCGTTCAGAGCTTCTGGAAACGATGGTCTCGTGAATACCTGACACAATTGCAATTCCGATCAAAATGGAGACGTGCCTGTCCTAACTCTCACTTAAAGATAGGGGCCTTAGTGCTCATTCGCGATGACAATGCACCTCCAACTCAGTGGAGGCTCGGTCGGATTACCGAGCTAATACGCGGAAAGGATGACTTGGTCCGAGTGGTCTCACTGCGCACGCAAGTAGGTGAGACAAAAAGGGCGATAGCGAAGATATGTATATTACCGTTGGACGAGGAGCTTCCTCATTAGTCATGATTTATTGTGTGTGTTATTTTATAGAGTATGATAACGATCTTTCCGTTTTGGTGTTGAAAGTCAATGTCTTTCAAAGGGGGCGGCATGTCGAGAGTGAATACGTTCATATAGCGCGCGATCAAATGTTACAAGCCATAGATATATAGCGCCGAGAGAGGGCAGAAAAGGCGCCTAATACCGAAACGGAGGGAGAGCAAGGAAGAGTATGCGAGTAGACACGACAGAGGAAGCATGTGCGACCAAGTGAGGACCACGCGCGCATTCCGTGGTTGTAAAGATTTAAGTTACAAATAAAGGCGAACACTGTAAGAAGTGCAATCAAAGAGATAAAGAACGGCGAGTTGTGAAAAAGAACCCCTTCATCTCCGTACGCTCGAGCTCTGGCCACTGTGTAATACATACTAATGTTCTTTATGTACTATTGTCTAATTGTGTAGCTACTTCAACAATCGATCCATGCTGAACAAAAGCAAATTGGCGGAAAAGACATTATAGTCGAACTTGATGAATGTAAAATAGGAAAGAGAAAATATAATACTGGACGTATTATTAGGGGTCAATGGATATTCGGTGGTATCAAACGCAACACTAAAAATATATTTATTTTGCCTATACCAAATCGAAGTGCCGAGACTCTAATACCACTTATTCAAAAACACATTGCTCCAGATTCAATTGTACATACTGATAAATGGCGAGCATACGATTCATTAAAAAACTGTAATTATACTCATAGGACAGTAAACCATTCTAAAAATTTTGTTGATCCAGAAACTGGTGTTCATACAGCGAATGTAGAAAGATTATAGAGAGAATTGCGAGCAAATATACCACGTTATGGTACTCGAGATTATCATTTTGAACATTATATTGCTGAATTTATGTTTAAAAGAAAATATAATTATGATAAACGTATCGAAGCTTTTTCCAAATTATGAGCAATATGTATCCATTACGTAATATAAATATTGAATAAAAATATTGTTACTTTGCTACTTATAATACTTTAATTACTTTAATTACTGCTCCTTCCCTGTTTATGCATCTTTCTACGTAAATATATAATTCTACATAAATATATAATTAATATATTACGTCCAATTTCATTGTATGTTTTTCAAACTTATTTTCTAAATAACTTTTTAACAAACAACGAGCGACGGCTAAAACCTCTTGAAGGTTACTCAGGGCGATGACCTTGACAACATATGTCAAGGTCAAGGTCATTGGGGAGGGCTCCCCTCTTCTGCAGTTTTACCTTTGTTTTATACAGAGTGTCTGATGCAAAAGTAGCCAACTTGAAAATAGTGGTAGATTGGGTTAAACTAAGGAGAAATATCATGTGCCGCGGTACAAAAGTAACAATAGTTATCGAGTAATTAATTTACACATCTGAGCGAATGAGGATGCAGAATACGGTAGGCCAGACTCGGAAGGCATTTAAGAAAATCGATCGATGAGCGGGAGGTGGAGCGACGACGACGACGACAAAGATGTTTCTTAATCCAAAATTTCACAAATCTGACTTTGCATTGCAATACCTCCACTCCTGGGGCACGTAGGAGAAAAGTAAAAACACTTTTATTATGCAAATCGTACCCAAGCTATCGATTAAGTGCAGTCTCAATTTCGTCGGATCAGCCGTTGTTGAGATCCGAAAATCTGAGAGCCCGTCAACTCGTGCACTCGCGTAAACTTACACGGTCGGTCTCGCACGCGTGTACTAGCTACGCTTAGACTTGGCGCGAGACACTACCGTGTCTCGTGATACGAAAAATTTTTTCCAACGAAGTAGCAACACAATATACCTGGTACGGTACAAAAAAGAAAGCAAGTTTTTCAACATTGCATAAAGTTATAATAGGTAAGTACAACAAACAATGTCTTCTTTGTAAACTAAATATAAGTAGTTTTATAAATTTAACTAATAAAAATTTTGCCAGGTGTAGTACGACAATTCCACACAAATGCCAGAGATGAAGAGATTTCAGCCTCTATAAAAATATGGTTAGCCCATGCGAAAGAACGTATGGGAACAGAAAAGGAACGAAAGGAAGATACTGTGACAACATGAAACTGTGATACAACCATAAATGCAAATAAACTACAGATTCAGTTTTGCATTTGTACCAAAGATATATCAGTTTATATATTGTTAGGAATTGGTATATTTCTTATGTGACAACAAATACATTTTGATATCCAGGTCCTATACTAATACATAATACTTTTCTCATAATTTTCTGGTTATTTGAGATTATGTGTTTATATTATACATAATGAATTAGTGGGTGCTGGGACTGTTTTTTAAGATTCAGTTCGTATTGACTGTGCCAGTGGGTGCTGGGACTGTTCTTTTTTGAAGACAGAGTCCGCGCTAGCTATGCTGGTGGGTGCTGGGACTATCTTCTAGGGAAGAGAGTCCGCATTAGCAAATTCAATATGAGCTATCTTCTAAAACATAGTCCGCGTTAGTTTCATTAAGTAAGCTTTTTTTATTGGTTTTTTGGTCCTTTATTTGTTTTTTAATGTACTTTCGAAATGAGTCATAAATTTTCAATATTCTTTATGTTGCATTAGAAATATACCAAATATATTAATACATATTTATTCTTTAATTTTGCTGCTTGTATGTTATCTTGGATTGATTTTGTATTGTATACAATGTGCAATGCTAAAAAATAAACGTAAAATTAGAATGTTTAGATTCTTAATATGTTATAAGCAGAAATATTTATAAAATGTGTTCTTTTTTAATTTTGTTTATTTTTCTGCGTGATTTTATATCAGATGTTCCGCATATGTACTTTGATTTGTACATGTTTATTGTACGTACAAATACAAGTGTAATAAACATTAATTTATGTATGTATGAATGATGTATATGTATGAATACGTATGAATAAACATTAATTTACAGAATGTTAATAAAGAGTCACAAATTTATATTATTTAACCAAATAAATATGTAGAATATAAAAATATACGCGTGCGTATGTGCGTGTATGTACCTACGATATACGATACATATTACAAATAATATTCTGGTATATCAATAGAATATCCTCAGTATATACCATTGATATATTTTCAGCACATACTACGTATGAGAAAAAGCGGACATTAGTGCATTCTCAGTACGTACTCAGTACATCATAGAACATATTCGAAAGCTATGAGAATATACGTAATATACTGTTGAGATATTCTCAGAACTTTCTCAGTATCTACATGTGCTGTGTGGGGTAATTTTCAATCGTCCGTATGAGTTTGAAGTCTTCAACAACTTGAGATTGTAAAGTTGTTTTATCTGCTAGACAGATCCGGCATGAATAATTAGAGTTAAAACTCTTACTGAATCCCAAAATGGTGTTGAGACCTAAGTTGTCTCCGAAAATATGCAGTAAAGCAAAGTTTACTTTTTCTGTAGAATTTTCAGTTGTAATAATTATTCCGTCCGTTTCAAGTTTTTTGATCTGCTCAATAATATTTGACAAAATCAAATTGTTTCCGCATTCATTGTGATCTCCAGATTTATGTAACTGTACTAGAAATATGTTTTCTAGCTGACTAGAGTATTCTTCAGGAATACAACCAATAGTACAATATACCACGCCAAGTTTGTGTATACCCCGATGAGTCCCGAGAGGATTGTTGATTTCCAAATCGTCAAAATATATAATCAATGGCAATACAACATTTTCGTAGTTTCGCTCGATTGAACGCCACAGTTTGCCTTGTAAATGATTTGTGACTGATTGTGAGTTCCCTTGATTTGATTGTTCAATGTAGGAAAAAAGAAGCCTATATACCCCCGGTAGTTCTAGAAAGTTTTTAAAAATCTTTTTCAGCGATATAATACAAATGTTTCGATGTGTTGCACACATTTGTCGGCTATGATTTATCAATTTAGGAGTAAACGTCATGTCAATGGATACTTGTTCCGGCTCTATTAAGTAATTCATATTTTTAAAATTTTGTAATATTCGATGTTCAGAGGAATAATCTTTGAAAGC